AAATATAGCATGATAGGTCCACTTTAAGATGTAAATTAATTCCAGTTTATTTGTAGTGCTTTCTATTTGTATTGTGACATTTGGTGGCATCAATGTGTGCATTTGATACAGATAATGGAGCAGTTGCTTTAGGGCCACAGTGTACATCCCTTAAAGGGCCCATGTCATGGCCATTTCCACTGATCATAATTACATTGTTGAGGTATACTAAAATAGATTTATACTGTGCAATTTTCCAAACTCACATTGGTTTCGCATACAGCATCTCTGTCAAGCATGTGTATTCAGCAGTATTCACTCTCTCCACTAAACGACTCGTTGGAGCTCTTGCCCCCCCCTCCCTGTGAGCCTAGTGTGCTCCGATTGGTCAGCTCGGCCACTCTGTTCTGATTAGTCAACCACCAGAGAGGCTGCGCCCATGTCTAAACGGCTGCTCTCAGCCGAACATCAGTCTTATCATGGCGTCGGTACAGCCGTATATTTTATACGCCAACTAACCGAACTGTAGCTACAACTGTTGTTATAGAAGAGTGTGACGGCCCCAGGGCCTTTGTCTTACGATGGGGTGGAGCTGAAGAGGCTAATCAGCGCGATCACGGACACCTGGCCGGAGCCGAGGTGCTAGCCAGCTGCCCGGAGTCAAACGGCAGCCCTTCTCTCCCTCCAAGCAGCTCAGCGATCCTCTCCCCTGACCACCTATCTCTGCATTTACCACAATAAATGTGCCGTGGTTTTGTAAACTCGTGTATGTCTCCTTGTCTTCCCGTTGTGGCCTACGAGCCGGTCATAACAAAGAGTAAGTTATTTTTACCCGTTATAAACTACTACTGTTTGATGAGAAATCAAATCATGGTTTGCTATATATGAATGATATGTTATAGGAGCAAATAATTCAGGGAAGAAAGGATAGGCCTACTAAGTATTTCCATTAAACTTTATTTTTAGAAATGTACAAAATGAACGTAAATATTAGGGCTGTCAAGTTAACGCGTTAATAACGCGTTAACGCAAAACAAAATTAACGCCACTAATTATTTTAACGCGATTAACGCATGTGTATTTTTTGTCCTCGGCCGCCGTAGTTTCAGAGCGCATCGAGTGTAAAATACCATCGACAAGCTGATGCTGACAGCCCCGCTCCTGCTGCCCGCTTGTGGCAGACCACACTTCCACGCTCACTGGCAGGCCCGGACTGGCCATCGGGAGGACCGGGAGGGAGTGTGTATGTGTGGCGCGACTCGCGCGAGCGAGGCACACCTTACGTGTTGTTGTTGTTAGCATCTGGTGCTAGCTAGCTGCGCTAACGGATATAAGGAGCTGTTTCAATGACATTTCGCCGACAACTGCGCCGAGCACTTGACTTTATGCAGGTAGCCAGACAGTGGGACATTGTACGAAAAGTCAGCACACTCAGCACGGATAGTGCGCGCAACATGATTGCAGCGTCCAGGCAGCTCCCATTCGAGCATTTATGCCTTGAGCTGCACATAGCTCCAACGATCACACACACACACACACACACACACACACACACACACACACACACACACACACACACACACACACACACACACACACACACACACACACACACACACACACACACACACACACAATTATTGTATGAGAGAGGTTCCAGGTTGAATTGAGGCAAATATTTGTAATGTTCAGGTTGTTGTGTTTAATATTCATGAGAATATTTGTCATTGTTCAAATGATAATAAACAAACATATAAAGCATATTTGTCCACTCATATGTTGATAAGAGTATTAAAAACTTGAAAGATATCCCTCTAAGGTACATTTAGAACAGATAAAAAATGTGCGATTAATTTGCGATTAATCGCGATTAACTATGGACAATCATGCGATTAATCGCGATTAAATATTTTAATCGACTGACAGCCCTAGTAAATATACATATATACACGGTATATCGTCAATTACTCCCCGTTGTCGGCATCTTGCTTATAGCAGCCGGGGCTTTTTGAGACGATGCCTGTGTGGTCGTCCAGTCATGTATTGTCCGGCAGGATCTGGCTGGACGAAATAAAATGCAAATCACAAAATATTAGAGAAACGTAGTTGTTTTAGATTCGTTAGTAGTAGTTGTGGTAGGAGTGTGGATCTATCTAATGAACAGCTTGCCTGCTAATATGCTAACCTAGCTTTGTTTACCTTGGTAGCTAACACGATATGAATGTTAGCTTGGAGGAACGGCAACTATAATGGAGTGTAATAAAACTACTATGAACAAAAGCTAGTGGTTCATATTAGGCTAGCAATAACGTGTTTATAATTGCATTATTCTACGGGTAGTCTGCTACGTTCGGTCATACAATGTTTCCCGCTAGCATGTATAGCTAGCCTCGTTAGCTATACATGCTATCAGCGTCGAAGGAAAGCCAACTGTAATGTACTGTCCTTTGGGGGTCTGTGAGCGGGCAAAGAGAGGGGATTTCCCCGTTGTCTCTGCTGGAAGTGTGAAATAAACAGAGTCCCCATTTCAGGGACACCTCTTGGAGGTCTCTAGGCCGTCCGTTGGGGGTCTGTGAGCGGGCAAAGAGAGCTAACCTAGCTTTGTTTACCTTGGTAGCTAACACGATATGAACGTTAGCTTGGAGGAACGGCAACTATAATGGAGTGTAATAAAACTACTATGAACAAAAGCTAGTGGTTCATATTAGGCTAGCAATAACGTGTTTATAATTGCAATATTATACGGGTATTCTGCTACGTTCGGTCATACATTGTAACTTGCATGAATACATTGTTTTGCGCTAGCATACAGCTAGCCTCGTTAGCTATACATGCAGTATGTACATGTACTGTCACAATGTACGGTAAATCACCCGGAGTATACTGTATGAGTATTCCGTGTGTGTGACTGCAGACATTCTCCTGCCATGACAAACATGTAAGGCCATCTGCTGACATTGTAGTTGATATATTTAAACGCTAGCAACGTAGCATAACAAAAATGTTTTTCCGACCAAACTAAGGTCTAGCTCCGTCGGTTAGATCGGTAGCATACACGCTACGCCAGCTATAATGTAATTACGTTTCGCGACTGACCGAACGGTAAATCACCAGGAGTATACGGTCTATGACTATTTTGTGTGTGAATGCAGACATTATCCAGCTATGAGGAACATGTATGTAAGGCGATCTGCTGATATTGGAGTTGATATATGGAAACGCTAGCAACTTAGTTAGCACAGTTAGCACTGGCTTACATTTAAATTAGTTTACACATTTAAACAGTCGCGGTAGATACCTTGTTTGATAAATACACAAATAACAATGCAAACTTACAGGTTGTGTACCCGAATCTTCCCCTGCTCCAAACGGTCCAAACAAGCTGTGCATATCCGGCCTCAAACTGGGCAATGTTTTGGAAGCTTTCGTCTGTGAAATGCCGGTTCTTCGAACCTCTGGAGGAACAGTGTTAAAAAGAAATTTCAACCACTGACTTCGTCGTGGTTCTTCCGTTGGTAGGACAAACGGCTCAGATTTCTCCTCACATTTCAGGAAACAGGTCCTTGGCAGTGGCATGACTGGATCGATTGTGAACTGAACCAGAGCTTCCTACAGTAAATGTTAGGCTGGCAGAGGGTGCGGCCAGCGCCGCTGGGTGTGGCCATAGCTCTTCGGGATTGGTCCATTTCGTTCCGGGTGCCGCATGACATCAGGCCGTACCCGGAACTAAATGGAAGACTCAAATGGGCAGTGACGTATCTCCAACGAGGCGTTTTGGGGAGGTATTTTCTGTGTTAGAGTTTTACTCGCTACAGGGTGTACTTTGAGGGTTTTGACTCTGCACACCGTTTACATGCATAAAAACCTTCATAACACACAAGGGGACGGGTAATAACCGGAAAAGCATGACATGGGAGCTTTAAGGTAAAATAATGAGATCCTCGACCTCCGCCCCCCTCTCGCACCTCCACACAGAACCCCCCCACATATCAAATCCCAATTTAACCCCTGGTTGTGTCTCTGTGTCTGATTAAGTCTGACAAAGATTGATTTAGTGTCATGCTTCTAGATTTGGTGAGGGATTACAGCCGTCAATGATCAATTGACAGTTTATCACTCTGTCTTGTCTGGTCAAGATTTACCCTGGAATGTGCGGTCGTGACCCTGGAGGATGCTGCCCTTGGAAATGTGTGTTTTCCAAGGCCCATGGGTAAACAGAGAAATGCTGCCTTCAAATGCTGTTGGAAAAATGTAATTTACGAGTCAACCCCAAATGAGCAGTGAAGAGGTAAGAGATGATCTGTGACACAGAAGTCTATAAAATGGAATGTGCTGGGGCTCACTGTGTCTAAAAAGTAATGTAAATCTAGACTAAGTAATGTGCACAATTGTACACACACACACACACACACACACACACACACACACACACACACACACACACACACACACACACACACACACACACACACACACACACACACACACACACACACACACACACACACACACACACACACGCTATACATGATGCGTTTTAAAAGCTTACGGGATACGTTTGTACTGTTGATCATTGATATTAAAATTAATTGTATTGCATTGTCTTCCAGTTGTCTGTCCAATGTTGAGTACTTGAACTTAACTTCAGCATTTCCATTGTATGCAGCTTTTTCATATTTGGGCTGGCATATTGTACTTTTCACTCATTATTTATATGACAAAAGTCGTTACTTCTACGTATTATCTGCATTAAGGACTTTTACTTGTAATTTAGTATTTCAGTACTGCGGTATTGCTTCTTCTAGGCTTACTTTGGATTTATGTAAAACATTTGATTACTACTAGATATCTATATGTCTTGTTAATTTTATGGTAGATTTATTTAAATGAATAATCAAACATAAGCCACCTAAACAACTTGTCGACTGCAGCTGCCAAACTGTCTTGTTGACAGCAGATCTGTGAGTGTTAGGAAGTCCGAGGCTGCCCTGAATGCATCACAAACCCACAAAAATACTCCTCTTCAGCACCTTCAGCACCGGGAGCAGAGGGCCAGCCTGCAGAGCTCTTCCGGAGGCGGATAATCCCCATCTCTACACGTCTAATGCAATCAGGAAGGAATAACTATAACTCACCTCAAAGGAAACACGTTTTTGGAAGTTAATGCAAGTTAAGACCTACATTTCCAGCATTAGGAAAAGCTTGGACGAGGAAGGAGATGGATATTTGCGTTACGCATTATTGTGTAAATAGCCACATCTGACAGAGATAAGCCAATCCTCCTATAATGTGACAGCTGCTGTCGCATTTCATCTAGTTGGGAGAAACTACAAAAAGAAATTCCTTCTTACATTTTATTTTTATCTCAGCACAATGGTGAATTACAATCTCGGTTTGTCTTTAATTATCGCGGCTATTTGGCGGGTCAGTGGCGTACCACTAAATCCTTCACCGGCGACGCTGCTCAACTCAACATCATCCACCATCAGCGAACATCAAATGACACATAATGTCACAGACACCGCCGTGGTGGGATCCCGGATTTCATCTATAATGACGCATCTTCCCACTCTGAAAAACGTTGTTATTTTCATCTGCGTGCTAACAGCTGTTCTCATCACATGCCTGGTCATCAAAGTGATCAGGTAAGCTGCAAGCAGGCTGATGCAACTATATTACGGTATAAGGCCTTTAATAAGAAGTCTTACAGTGATGCAGTCAAATAAATGTATGGTATAAATGTCGCTCTTTGTGGTGTTCCTTGTAAATGAATCGATTAGGAGCATGTGGTTGTGTCTGGGCCTATTTATAATGTTCCTACAGGGAGTTTAGTGTCGAGGAGCCACTTAGATAGGCATCCCGATGTGCTTTATGTAAGATATTTTCTGTCCTTATTTATCTTTGACCTATGTGAAGAATATGATATTGTTAGTTCTAACATCACAGTCATCTTTACATTCATCACGTGTATTTGTGTTTAGGTTGTCTAATCATATTTCATACTAGGGTTGCAATTAATGATTATTTTTAGATGAATCTGGTCATTCTTTTATCAATTACTCAATGGTTATTTTAGTTATTTGGAAATATTGGGGGAGAGTAAAAACAAAAAAGCCAGAGCCCAATGTGCTGTCTTGAAGTGGCTTTACAAATATATAAAACAGGACAAAACAGTAAATCTGAAAAGGTGTAAATCGAGAATATTTAGCATTTAGATTGATTAATCAATTATCATATTGGTAGCGATACAATTGAAATATATGTCAACTGAATAATTGTATCAGCACTTTCCCATCCGAGCTAAACATTATTATGATTTTGTGAACTAAGCATGTTACCACTTTAAACGTCACAATTTGGAAAAATTATAAATTTGCTTTACAGCTGACGTGGTGTAGTCAGTCAGCCTAAATTATGACATTTTGAAAACTTGTGCTTGACTCATGTTTGCCAATGTTTTCTTCCAACAGATCTGGGAGAAGAATCAGAAAAACAAGAAAATATGACATTATAACGACCCCCGCTGAACGTGTGGAGATGGCCCCTCTAAATGAGGAGAATGATGATGAAGACGACTCAACCCTCTTTGATGTCAAATACAGGTTTGTTCTTTTACAATTCTAAATACTCCTTTGAAGAAACTCCCTGATTGACGATTGCAGGCCTAATCCTATATATTCTTCATAATTGATGTTATGTCTTGTATATATTTATATACTACACTGTGGTTGCATGTATGAACCTTTTGAATCTTGAATCTATATCAGAGAAGTTAGGTTTATGGTTCCCTGTGGATAGAGAGGAGATATTAACCTCTGTATAGCATATTATGCTAGCCCATAATTCACACTCTGGCCCTTTATTTCTACCGAAATGTATCTGTACAGAATATGTCTCTCAAGTCAAAGTGTTTCTTTGTAAGGGTTGGACTATATAAAACCTATTAAAGTTAAAAGATTAGTGTAAAAACTGAACAGTACAGTACTTTTGTACTATTTAATTGCCTGCTTTTGCTCATCTTAGTTTTACTGAATGCCTCTTTTTTTTATCTCAGTTGTACTATTCTAGCCATGACGTGTTTTAAAGTTGATTTCCCTATGTAAAGCTCTCCGCCAATCTCTTTTGATTAATAAAATCTGCTTGGTGGCACCACCTTTTTAGCAAAGTGAGTAAGCATATGCTACTAAAACAAATAGGAGTGTCTCACAGCTTTTTTGGACTATCTATAGCACTTTTATAATGCTCACAAACATTTGAGGTAAAGGATTGTTATTAAAAACCACACTGATAGTATGGGAATTTCAAAAGTATGCATTTAAATGTGTACTTCCTGCTTGCTTCTCTTGAAGAAACACTATTTTGAAAAACTATTGTTTTAGTTCATCTAATGTTGATATAAGGTTTCACCCTTCCGTTCTTTCCATTGTTCCTTAACACACAAACACTTCCTGAAAGGGAGATATGACGTCCTGTTTACCTGACATTCCTGAATTCCTAGTCAGACTGGAAACAGCAGGCTAAATTATTTCCAAGTAATCGTACTTTAAAAACTGATTAAAATATGTAAAGTAACGGAGTTATTTTTTTTTCAGGTGAATGCCGGCATGGACATCAACATTGGATAACTCCTGTTTTGCCTGGAACAACTCAAGTGATTTTCTGTATGTTTGTGCTGTTCAAGTCTTATCAAATCAGCAACTTCATATGCTGCGTGTGCATGGCTTTTATCTGTGTTAAAGGACTGGAGCCGCATGGATATCATAGTTTGCTGCTTCACTGACGCTTCTATCATGTAGCACAAATAACCTGCACAATACTTTTTGATATTAGAGATCAGAGTGCTTCATTTTGTGACTTTTTCTCAACAGTCATTTAATAATCGTCTTTATAAAAACGTGGAAATTACCTGGAAAAAACATTTTAAAGTCATTTCATTTTGACACTTGAGCTACATTGTGTTGGTCGGAGGAGTTTAGGATCCAACGTCTGCTTTGAAAATATAATCCTCCCATATTATAACCATCAGATGATGCATAAAATGTTAACAAATAATGTGCAGAGAATAATTTATTCAAACATTTGCACACTAGGAAGAATCTATTGATATTCTATAATGGATATTTTTAACTAAACTTTCATACCAAATATATTTCTATCTACTAACCACTTAATTGTGCATATACTGTGGACGGCGGTCTGTCCTTATGTATGGAGTAAGCGTATATTTTTTTACCATGTGTTGTCCTGTTTTGCTGCTATCTTAGCTGAAGTTTTGCGTATTTTAAGATGTTGAAATTTGATAAATCTCAAATAATATAGTCAGGGTATTTTGTAAGGTGAAAATGGAAAACAACATTTGCTATGAATGTGATGGAGTAATCTGTTATGTGATTGGGTATATACAGTCAAGTGACGTAATTCAATTTAGCAACCACTGAACAATCCCAACGGGTTTAAAACAACACAGAGATGTAGTAACAGTATTTACATGCACCCAGTGTCTTATTTTCTAAACCAAAACAATGTTATTTCAACTTAAAAGTATCCCCAGAATCTGGTATCTGTTTAAAATAGTAGGCAAGGCCCTAGTAAAGTATAATGGAAAGTCTCCCTCAAGAATGGCATGTAATGGCTCACTGACTCTTGTAATGTCTAACCTGAAAAGCACTCAGTCTTTTCCCCCTTAAGAGTACATTCCCTGTGCCAAATGGACTCTGATAGAAACAGTTTCTTCAACTGGCTTTGAGAAAGAGTGTTGAGGACATTTTTTGACCTTTAACATTGATTTGATTGATAAGTATTACATTACTATGACAAATGAAAACATTGAGGTTGTTACATCTTTAATTCAAATACCAAATACACAATAATCAACCAAGAATCTCATATAAAGGGCAGAAAATAAATAGCCGTCATGTTCACAAACTGGTCTGTGTTTGTGCCCTAAATGTAATTACAGCAACTACGTAGCAGAGTGCACCTAGATTAGGTTTCTGCAGCAAATGTGAGTGTGGGTGTTGTAGGTGACCTTCTGTTTTTAATCCAAACTGTTATTTGATAGTGCAAAATGGCATACGGCTGCAGCTGCTTCTGAATGACCTCCAACCATAGTTAACAAAAAAACTGCAATGCCCGACTCGTACTGCATTTTCTTTCCGGGAGAAAGAACGTTTTGTATTTTGTATTTTGATTTCCTTGTTGACATTTACAGAAGACTGGATACAAGTGATATGGCGTGTGTGTGAATGTATGATTCGGTTTTTGAAAGTGATTCAAACTTTCGATCATGTGATTTATATCATGTCCTTTAGCAGAATGCTGGCTATTTCCTGTGGTTTCCATCAGATTATATGACCACTGTTATTTTCGATATTGTGTCATGTTTCATGTATGTTTTTTATTGTATGTGGAGTAAACTGCAGATCCATTAGTGTGTCTCAGGGGACTATCACCCTTGAACAGTTATCCTCCTCCATCGTGTCACCGTCTATTATTTTATCTTTAGTTGTGCGTGTAATTGTGGAAAAACCCTGCTTGTCTGAAGATGCTATTTCTGTACTTTTATTAGAACTGAATTATCTGCTACAGACAGTTCCTGTTGTAAATTGAATTAACGTCATTGTGGTAGCTATTTGAAGACTGTATCTAATTGCTCTAATCCCACATTTAAACCAAAACAAGTTAAATGTTCAAACTGTTTTGGAAGTTTATTGAATTCAAGTCTCCGTTTGGTTTTTGACACAGATATTATGTGTACCCACAGCTGTATCCTTGGTTTCCATTTCTTTGAAACACTACTGAAATAAAACTGCTTCCTTTGAAGTGTTAAATCGTTTTAAGGGAGAGGCTTGAAGTGTTATTTCTTTCCATTCTGATCTTCTGTGTGTTTTCTGACACAGAAAAGTACATTCACTTTGTCATAACATCATTCAAGTTTTCTCAAGTCATACTGAATAGTTTAAGTATTAAAAAAAACTTAAATTTAGTCAAGTGGTATGCATCAAGACAAAACATGCAAAAGTTAATATTTTGTTGCTGGAATTTGTACATTGAACAAATACTAATATATGGTAAAGCTACATGACTAAAGTTAAGCTACAACTATAAAGAAGAATCCCCTCAAGTAGAACGTTTTCTATCTGTGGCAAAGTCCAGATTCTGGGATAATTAACCTAATTGTGTTAGTCACAGAATGTTTCTATTTTTGTTGATCTCAGACCAGCCTTCACAAACAGGCCTTTCATTGCCTCAGACTGCTCACGTCGCTATTACAACTTTTGTGTATATTCTTAACTTTACTCGCTCCATTGGCCAACATGAAGTCAACAAAGCGCATCCTGTCAAAACAACACTATTACAGACAGATCACATGGCTGGCAGCGCATGACCTGCTGCTTGTGTAGAGCTTGTGGAATCATTTGAATACTTCTGTTAATTTGTATTAAAAGAGGCAATTTGTTGCAGAAAATAATCCTAAAGTGTTTGGCAAAAAGCCCAGTATAAAGACAAAAGGTGGAGCTTTAAATTACAAAAATATAACCCTAACTAGCATTCAACTTATTGACTGACAAATGATTCTGGTATTGTTCTTAAAATAAACAAAGAATTGCGTTTCTTACCTGATCACAACTACTGAACAAGTCTACAATCAAATGAACTTTCTTTGTTTATTTTTGTCAATCGTAGCTGGGTTTCAGTGGTGAGTAACGCTATTAAGAGTAATGTACGTTTGTTTTTTACATCTATCTTATCATGTCAAAAATAAGTTAGATAAACCCTGAACATTTTTCATTCTTCAATTTTAAATCATCCAATTAATTGATTATAGGCACTAAATACTGGCAATCCTAAAATCCACAAATATCTGTATCAATCTATAATGGTTGAGATACTAGCCCTAAACACACAATACATGTATAATTCATACATTATTAAAAAATAATGAAGGCATACAAGTTATCAACTCCTTCTCTCAGTGCACTGGAACTTCTGCTAACAGTTACTCGAAATGTATTTAAAGCACTATATAGGGCTTATTTCCTACAGCATTTGTAAGAATATCACCAATACATTCATTAAATAAGCAAAGCTCTTCTTAGTACCCACACACAGCTACAACCTATTAACATTTCCAGGGCAGAAACAGGGCTGTTGTTTGAGAAGAGTTTACAAAGCGAGTTTACTTCCGGCTGAGTCTGTGTAAACAATCGTATGTGAACAGCTGGCACTCCCTCTTTATCCTCACAGAAGCTGAATACATTTCCTCATGCTTCACTCCTTCATTCGGCTCTCAAGGTAACCCAACTCTATCACACGGCAGTTCTGGTTGACTAGACTCTTGGAGTTTTTTGCTTATGAATGACCTGTTTCACTGTGAACACCACTGACGGTATTTTACAAGCTACAAAAGCGTAAATGTCCTCAGAGTAAAATGTCTTATCACAAGTTGAAGGTTATTTATAAAAAAAAAAGTTTGAACAGTTGACCAACATGTTTCTGTCATCCTTCTCCCTGATTATGAAGTGCTTCCATCTTGTGGCCCAAAAAGTGCCTTACAAGAGCCATTCATTCAGCAGCTCTTCATTATGTTGACATGGTTAATTATTACACACCCTTAATGGGGACCTTTCATATCATAAACTGGGAATATTATTAATATGGAATATATTTACCGACGGCTTTTCATGACCAAATTTGAAAAACAAAAATGTGTTCTCAATTCCTATTTATCACAATAGTAAAAACTTGGGAGGCCTTTTCAAATGTTGTTTCAAGACAACAACATACCTACAGAAAATGGGACTCATTATTTTGAAAGGTTGCCATAGAAATCTCATTAGAGGTAAAACACATCAGTAAAAGAAGTCACTTCTTTAGATAGAAAAAAGTTCATTCCAATTACTGAAAATATCTTAATTCAAGTTTCAAAAAAGTACCGTAACAAGAACACTTTTTCACAAAGTCTGCTTAAAGTGGTTTCCATGGAGATGTGTTGTCAGCTACTTGCTCTGGAGCTCCTTCTGGTCTCCTTTGGTGTCACAGGTTCCAGTGTGGAGCCGCAGCGCCCCCTGTCTGTGCAACGCGCTCAGGGTCCTGAACTCCAGAGGCATGGTGTGAGGGCTGGAGCTGGACGTATACTCGTACTTCAGAGTATCGTAGTAGTGGTATTTCACCGGTTTACCCTGCGGGTCGTGTGAGAAGGGCCAGAAGCCGTACAGATGGATCTCATCACAGAAGCGAGTGGCCATTGTGTACATGAGGAGCCCAGTGGTCGGACGCTTGATGTGGACATGGTTGGTGAGCCAGTACCTGTACACAGAAACATAAAGTATGCGTTTAGCTGCATGCGATAACTCTTAGAAATAAAGCAAAAAGGAAAAATATGTCCAAGGTCTCCAGAGCTTCTTTTTCAGGTAGCACACTAAAGTCAGTATTCACTCTGAAGCAACACTTATCTCCTTCAGTCAGACCCTCCTCCCTCCGGGTATTGATATTAATCCAGATACGCAGTATGCCAGAGCACGCACTGTGGAGCTGAATCCTAAGAAGTCAGGCAAGTAGAAATGTAGAGCACGCCGGATATGTTTCTCTGCTGTAGACATCCGAGCTTCAAGGACTGGCTGCTCACAGATATCAGTAAATAACCTTTTTTTTCCATCTTGTGTTTGCTGCACTGCAAAAATATCCTTAACATCATTTAGTATGATGTTTCAGAAAGTTATTTATTCAGAGAAAATGCTGAAACAGTTGGCTGATTAATTCATAGGCATTTTTTTTATAGAAACTTAATTGGTTCAGCAATTTCACAAGAAAAAAAGACCACTTAGAGGTGATGTGCTTTGCAGTTGAAAATTAAACAATCTGAAGATACGTGTTTGGATTTAAGTATTTACATTTTTGAAGATTGACAACAGCAATTATTTATTGTAGCCCTATTCTTCTTTCCACTGTTAAAAAGAAGGATAATTAAACACATTTCCTAGCTCAAAATCTTGAGTCTAGTGCAGCCATCTGCGCCGGAAACAAAACAACTGTTCAGAAAAACAAACTACTGCAATGATGGAAATTACATTGTGAAAAAAGGGATATAACTGACCACATTTGCAGTGGTTTTACTTCTTAGAATAAAATAACAAATGAAATGTATTTACTTGTTCAGGTGGATATGTTTTGAAACATGTTAAACCAAGTGCACACACTAGTGGCATTATTCTACTTTATGTGACCTAGAGCTCCTTTGACAGCGAGTTACCACATGCTGCCTTCAGGAGCAGCTTCAGGGGGAGGCGGTCAGACGCTCACTTGCCCCAACTTCATTTTCTGTTCAAGTCACTTGGCCATTGCTCCAGCCTCAAGGCTTTTCTCCCCCCTCTGGCTGTGCACTCTGTTAGTGTGGAAGGTCGTGTTGAGATTCAGAGGTTGTACTATTTAAAGACATTCGTGTCCACAGGCCAGGTTTACAGTCTAACCAACACTACAGCATGCGATCAGATTTTTAACAAGCAGAGGAGACATTCCAATTATCTGTCAAATGCTCTGATGTGGCATTTACGTGGAGTTAATACGAACAGATCTATTGTCCTTCACTGCACATGATGGAGATCAAAAGTTACTGAGAAGAGGAGGTAGGCGAGGGGTAGCAATTATTCGATCCCACCATTAAAAGGAAAAAGGCAGTTTCATCTCAAACAAATCTTTCAGGCTAACCATCTTCTCTTGTAAAACACTAATTAAACAGACTGTTAATTACACAAATAATGTCCCAGTTCAACCCCTTACTGAGGGTTAGTTGAAGCATACACAATGGCATAATTTGGTCACTGACCATCAGTGGCTGTTAGGCTTTTAACAAAGCTCCCGAACAGAGTGTGGTTGTGACTACAGAGAAGCAGAAAAGCAACAAAAATGGGAATTTATAACAGCCTGAAGGCAGTAGAGGCTGTATCGGAAAGATATGCAAAAATATTACCCAAAAAAGATCCAGTTCTAAAATAAATCCGCACAAATAATAGCCTGTTATATCACCGTTAAACAGCATTACTCATTATCTCTGCTTTTCAGCAACATTATCTAAACAACACGATTTGGAGCAACATTTTGAACATAATTTAAGCTTACGGCAATTGATCTCTTCATAGAGCAGATTCATAAATGTTAGCAGCAAATCAATCAAAATCAATGCATAAAAGCTGAGAATGAACCAGGGCACAGTGGTCAGACTCTGAGGGAACAAAGCCTCTATTTCAGTAAATGTGCTTATTTGCTGAGAGTTAAATGAGAGAATCGATACCATGATGAACAACAGTTTATCGGTCCGCTCAGCAGTCTTATCTAGCTTCTCGGCTGTTTGCCTGGTAACCTCACCATGACGACAGCACTCCAGGAAGTCACGGCACCCTGCTGTTAATCAACAAGAAATGGTCAAAGCATGTATTTCCCTTGAAAAAGCACAGAGTGTTTGTTCTAGGGAAGGAATATCAGTCAGTCTGTGGGTCGGTCAGTCAACACAATGAAAAATCTCGACAAAAATGTAATTAAATGAATTGTTAGGACATTTTCTATGGACATTAATGGTTCCCGGATGATGAACCCTACAGACTTTTGTGATCCTCTAACTCTTCCTCTAGGTCCACCATGAGGTTAATTTTTTTCTTGATAACATTCAGATTTTCAAGATTGTGACACACACATATAAGAGACGTAACAAAAAAATAAAGAGGCAGCAACATTTTCCCAATTTGGGAACATTTAGGGAACATCTTATCTTATCAACCTTATCGCCTAACTCTCCATAGGAAAGCAAATAATTGAATTTTCCAAAATGTTGAACTATTA